GCTGCTATTTTGTCGGCCATTCCTCGAGGAAACCAACCAGCACTCCTCCATCAGCCAAGGCCTCCATTACTAATCCCATCTGTAATAAATAAATAAATAATAATATCATTATTTCATAATCTTCTTACAAAAGCAACTCCACTGCCAGTAAATGCAGTGAATCCATCAATATATTGCTCTGGAACGTCCTGAGTGAAACCGACGGAATTAAATATATCAAGAAATAACTTGTTGTCATTTTCAGTGCTAAAGTGACCACTTGTATACACTGTCACACCAGCTCTGACTGGAAAATAAAATAAAATAATAAATAAATAAATAATTGGTACCAGAAGATGCAACAGTTGGAAGGCAACGAATTACAGGAAGATGACCCAACATGTCTGCCCTACCCATCTTCCAAGATATTTCTGTCTAGAGAGAGAGGGGGGGGAGAAAGAGAGGAGAGAGGTCATAGACAATAATACACTGACCTTTTCTTCAATTTGTTTTATGGTGATAGAGGTTGCCACGGAAACAATGAGCGGCCTGAGGTTCCTAGGCAACGGGGCCCCTCCCACCAGTAATTGATTCTCGTCAATGTCCTGATATATCTTCCTTAGTTCTTCAAGGACTGGCAATACTTGATGAGGTTTCACTGAAAGAATAATCACATCACAAGAAAGAACTATGTCTTTATTGTTAGTTGTCACGGCAACGCCTAGAGACTAAATATGGGTGTGGTTATTATTGCCTAAAGCTCCTCCCACTTACCTGCATCTTCTTATAGTTTTCGCCATTGGTAGCAAATGAGGCATGAATCTTGAACCTTTTCTGTTTATCATCTGAAAATTAATAATACTGAAAATCTGGCCATGGGCCAAAAATGAAAAAGTGAGAATTCTCCATTTTTAATAAGTTTTCTGATACATATACATGTTTTTATGTTTTATAGAAAGTTTGAGCTGATTCTGATCAAGTTTGGATTTTTTACAAATTTTTAAAGTTGCTCCAAAATCGGGCCAAAGTCCCTGTACTATAGTACAGTGACTTTGGCCAAATTTCGCCAAAAATGAAAAGTAGAGAATTCTCCATTTTTATTACATTTTCTGATACATATACATGCTCTTATGCTGTGTAGAAAGTTTGAGGTGATTCTGATCAAGATTAAATTTTTTACAAATTTTTTAATTTGCTCCAAAATCGGGCCAAAGTCCCTGTACTATAGTACAGGGACTTTGGCCAAATTTCGCCAAAAATTAAAAGTAAAGAATTCTCCATTTTTATTACATTTTCTGATACATATACATGTACTTATGTTGCATGAAAAGTTTAAGCTCATTCCGATCAAGTTTGAATTCTTTTTACATACTTTAAAAGTTGCTTTGAAATACTCATAGATTAGAGTATGTGAGGATTTTAAATTTCCCAAATTTAATTCAATTTCAGTGCTAGTTCTACCTGCTTGTAAGAGTCCCTCTGTAATTGCTCGAGCCAAGTTTCCTCCTCCAATAAATCCAACGTGTGTCGCTCCTTCTCCTCCAGAGGCCATCTTGAATCTCTTACTAGAAGGACCTGCACCAGATTCCACCATGCTGCTGTAAGATTATGGGCGTGGTCAATTGGAACTGGATCATCCAGATCCAGGATCATGGACCACTGTGCATTAGTAACATTACACCAAGGTAGATCCATACTATTCTACACAAGGTAATATTTTTAGTATGCATTTATTTGTTTTTATAGTCTATGTTTTGGTATGCTACTCTGTACTTCAGTAGTAAATGATACACTAAATTACTGAGGATGAATTAACAGGGAAAGGTCAGGTATATGTATATAATTGTTCACAATTATTATTTTATTATCATTAATTGAAGAAAGCCGCCAGTGAGTTGGCAGTGTACATAAGACTGTGT